AAAGTGCTTGCACATAGTAAGGACTACACTAATATATGTGTTTTCTCAATACAGTCTGCTTCCCAGATAAAATAAATTAAGGCTTATGACTAAGTAACTTAAACTAGTAAGTGGTAGAATTGGGAATTAAACATATCTCTGAATGCAAAGCCCATCCATCTAACCATTGCATTATCCTGCATCCAGAAATTTGTTCAATTCTTTCAGATACCAAAGTGTCTTAAATGTTTCTTTATTAGCACTTACCATAAGCCATCAGATTATGTCCTTAAATACGGAACACCTTGAGAATGAGATCTGTTCTCTTTTATCCCTTTGGTGAACTGCCCAGCCCCCAGCATGATGCCTGGCACAATACACATGCCCCATAATTGTGTGTTGAGGAAGGATTGTTAGTAAGGATATAGAGGCAATATCTAAAAAAAATTCTCTACTTTGTGTGCCAGAGCCTCAAAAGTAGTACTTAATTTGAAAGCTGAATGTGGCCTGCAGATGGAATTGATATCTGGGACAAGATATCTTGCCCCTAAATTACATCGTTTGTGTAGCCATCTATTATGTCTATTTCATTTAGATTCCCAAATTAAAAGTAAATTTAAGCAGCACCCTTACCTTATGACCGTTGCTTTGTTTTTGTGTATTGCCAACTATTCTCAACACAGACTGTGATTCAATTAATAAGGATTCAAGAAACCAGTACCCTGTCCTGGGCTCTGTGTTTCCTTGGCCATGTCTTCACAAGAACTGAGGAGCTCATATGACCAAGGAGATATTATCCCCTCCCCCCATGGAGCCCACACTAACCCTTCAAGACTTTGCTATAGATATACCAGTCCCCCAACTCCTTACCCACATAGCTCTAAGCCTGCTTCCAGGATTGTTTTAGACTCTTCCTCACAAGCGTGAGTGTGCCTAGGTGTCTGTAATCTTAGGCCCTAGGGGTTGCCAAGCAGCCGCTGTTTGTTGAATGAGGGAGGGATGGATGGAGCTTAGAAATGCATCCAGGTAGCCAGGCACGGTGGCTCACACCTGTAATTCCAGCACTTTGGGAGGTCAAGGCAGCTGGATTACCTGAGGTCGAGAGTTCAAGAGCAGCCTGACCAACATGGAGAAATCCCTTCTCTACTAAAAATACAAAATTAGCCAGGAGTGGCGGCACATGCCCATAATCCCAGCTACTCAGGAGGGTGAAGCAAGAGAATCGCTTGAACCCAGGAGGCACAGGCTGTGGTGAGCCAAGATCATGCCATTGCACTCCAGCCTGGGTGATAGAGCGGACTCCACCTCAAAAAAAAAAGAAAGAAAGAAAGAAATGCATCCAGGCTGGGCATCCACACCTGTGCATGTGGGGCCTCTCACGGCGAGGGGCAGAGCTGAGGGTGGGAAAGGAAAATGTCAAGTCATATGCCTGAGGTCAGCTCCAAGCCTACCAGCACATCCCAACTCAGGACTTGGAATGGTCCAGGAAGTTTGAATTCAAACCTATACTTCCAAGTCATCATGAAAAGAAGTGTGTTAAGATAGGAAAATAGGACAGATTTTTCAAACTTTGTTAGCTTGATTTATAATTGCTAGATATTTAGCCAAATATTATGGGGTTTACATTTGTACTTTTGCTCCAGATCCTGCTAAGGTTAGCGGCAGGTTTGCAAACAATAATATATTTACTGGTTAAAACCACAGTCATTTCTCTCTTTTCCTAGAAAGAATTAAGAAGTTTAGTAAAAAAGCATTGACACATTAATAAGAAAATGCCTGTTACATCTGTTTCCTTCTTGATGGTAGATTTAACCAATGTGGATAGGCAGCCTTGCTTGTAAGTCGCCGTAATCACCAACAAATGACTGGGAGGAGGTTTATTTTAAAACTCTACTTTTTTGCATGATGGTTACCATATTTATTAGAAAATAAATATCCCCAATGTTATGATTTTTCCTAACAAGAGCCATATGCAAAAAGGAGAGAAGGTTAGCAATAGAAAAAAAAGAAATAAGTTTGTCAAAATCTAGATTCCCAAGAAGAAAGCCTCTTTTCATTTATAGCAGAGGGAAGTTTTCACTTTATCATCAGTAGAAATGCTTGTTAGCCAGATTAAAATTTCAGAGACTTGATGGTGGAAAACCCTCGTAAACAGAATGTGCAGCTGTGTTTCCAAACCAGTGAGGAAAAGCCACCTGCCAGTGTAAACTCAGGCTACATTGTTTTAAAGCAGTGCCTGCCTCTCTTATCAGAAATGTGCACGTCAGAGAAGAAAGTGGGGAGGTCTCAGAAGCCCACCTAAGATCAGCAAATCAAACACCATGTCAGACTGGTTCCCGTTACTAGGATGGACATTGTGAGTTATAATAAATCCAAGGGGTACCTTTGCTTTTTAAGGAAAGGAAAGGAAAGGGAACTGTGGGACTTTGTAGGAAAGGAAACTGCTAGTGAATCCAATCTACACAGAAATCAATTTCACACGGCCATAATTCAAGGAAATGGGGCAGTATGTAATGACGTGGACATTCATTTTGCTTTTTAAAATTCAAACGTTCTTCTTGGCTACTATAATATTTTTGAAAACAGCTTGGACTTCTTTCCCTCTCAACTCCCTCTACAAGCATTTTTGCTGTACATGGGAATCTGTGAAACAGAGCCTCGCACTGTGACTCAGCCCATTGTTTCCTTTAACTTTTCTCACCATGTCCTCCTGCATCATTTCCCTTTCTCAGGACTAAAAAACAGTCACGGAAAAAAATCAATGTTTTAAAACATACACTCAACAAATAGTGGGAAATATACTAAAATGAATGTACTAATTTGGCTTTGACTTTCACTAGTGCATACTTTGAAGTTCATACACAACTCACATTCTAGGACAGAATTGTATTACTTGCATCATAACATAATTAGTACATTCTGTTTCTCTTTCCCCTTCTTGTTGGGCTGGGGAAAGAGGGCTATAACTTTGTTCTAATTTCTACCTCTAATGAAGTATGTTCCTGAGTATTTGTGTATGATATCTGCTATGAAGATAATGTTTTAACACATTTTAAATAACAATGGTAATAATAGCATTAACATATTTAAAAATATGTCCAGGACCTGAAGAGATGGAAATTTGTTTATTTGACTCCATAAATTATGACAACTATGACTTTAAGAATGACCAAGAAATAATGATGCTAAGGTTAGATTTTTTTTAAATAAAGATACTAATACTGTAATGTCACCTTTTAACAGAAATTCAGAAGCAAAGACATGGCACTCTAAACCATATGACGGAAAACAGAGAAAAAGTGTCATATTCTAGTTATCTCTAACAGAAGGACGACATCATGATGGGAAGTAACTATATACAGTTTATATTGGGGAGGAAGAATTGAGTACAATGTATAAAACAAACCCGGAGTGCAGTAATTTAAAAAAAGGTATAGAATCTAGCCTCCACCATCGCCAAAAGGGACTTCAGAAATCAGCAATCTGATCATCTCATCTGCCAAGTGAGGAGGCCAACACTCAAGGGTTGTGGCATCTCAACCAGGTCACACCAAAAGGGCAGGATTTCTTAGATGAAATCTCAAGATTCCAAATAAAAGACCTGTGTCTCTGACTCCCTGCCTTTAATGCTAATAACACCTTCACCCAATATCAATTTGTTTACCAACAAAAACTTAGAGTTAATAACTTTACTAATGATGCTGTATAGCTACCTTTTTTCTTGAGTTAGAGAGTATATAAACATAAACTAGCATTGAATCTCATTCATTGATCCTGTCACTATTGTGTTTCCAGTATAATGGCAGCATCTTGTAGAAGAAATAAGCATGGACATTGGCACAAGAAAGATCTCACGACTGCCAGTGTACTGGTTTTTTACGCATGACAAAATTACTCCAACTTTCTGAGATTAATTTTTGTCTTATATACATCATGATAAATATTGCATGATTCATGAGGCTTTATGAAAATTAAATTATATGACATAAATGAAAATACCAAGTATTCTGCCTGACACCTAGGAAACACAGAATATAATACCTGATGAAGAAGGATGTAATACCTAAAAATTAGATGGGCATATCATTGAACCCTTTTTTCAAGAAAAAATAAATAACTAGAGAAGAATTCAAAGTTGTATGTTGAACAAGTATTTATATTTTAGTAGTGTGATAGACAAAATCAATGAAATAGGGGCTGAAGAATTCATGAACCAGCAAGAACAACAGCAAAAAGAATAAGTGTGAGGGGCAGGGCAGTGGCTGCACAGAAACAATGTCTTTAGCTGAGTTTGAAAAGAAAAAGAATAGGTTGATAGCTAGAGATGACAGTCAAAGATGTTCTAAGAACAGTATGAAAGGCTGGAGCTGAGAAGGAACTGTCATGTACAAAAGACATAGAGCAGGGGTGTCCAATCTTTTGGCTTCTGTGTAACACATTGGAAGAAGAAAAATTGTCTTGGGCCAACATAAAATACACTAACGATAGCTGATGATCTAAAAAACAAAACAGCAAAAAAATCTCATAATGTCTTAAGAAAGTTAACAAATTTGTGTTGAGCCGCATTCAAAGCCACCCTAGGCCGCATGTGGCCATGGGCCTTGGGTTGGACAAGCTGATAGAGCATCATCGGCTGAGAAAAATCCGAGAAAGCTTTGTGAGAAGCAGTAAAATATGGATAAATAAACTGAAGCCCATCAAACAAAGGCCTTGCATGCTCACCTGAGTGGTTTGAGTTTGATATAAAAATAATACATACTAGATTCCACAGTAGAGGAACGATTTAGTGATTTAGTGATCTAGTGATTTAGAAGCAAGCAATCTGGCAATCAAGAGTATGATGGATCATGCTGGAAAAAAAAAACTTCAGAGAAGTGGAGAGCATGGATAAAAGCACCTCTAATAATCCCAAAATGAGGTGATGGAGGCCTGAAATGAGACAGTGGTGAGGAGTCCATCTCCTAGCCAAAAGCGTATAATGATCTTTCAAGCCCGACCACAGACAATTGCGAAGGATTTACCTGGCAGGCTTCACAGGGAAAAGTTGTCCTCCCCACACCAGACTGTGTGCAACCAGGAAACTGCAATCTCTGAAGGGAGCTGCAGTCAAGGACTCAGTCACTCCATCCTCAGCACCATGCGCTTATGCATATCTGCATCTCCAGCCCTCCCTGCATTCAGAGAGAGGAGGTCTCATCATCGGGGCATTCTGCGGAGGTCTCCTCACTGGGGAGGACACTTGAAGACTCTTTTTTCACTCTGACTCAGTATTCACTGTTTCCCACACCTAGTCCTCCCCTCTCCAGCTCACCCCAATCCCCACCCCTGGGTCCATAAAATGGTCAGAGCCTTTTGTTCAGGCTCCCGTAGGTGGTGAGATAATTCCCCGCCCCGCTCCCCAGTGTGCACTGATACATTGGACCTTCACCCAGTGCCATTCTGTGGAGAAAAAAGGAACATGAAAAGGGTTAAGCTTTTTTCTCTTGCCTATTCTACTACCTTAGAAAGTCATTAAAGGCTTGGCTGTTACTTTCACTTTGGCTTGTTGTCTTAATTGACCACTCCAACCACGGGTATCTCAGCTCTCTCCAGCTCAGCTCAGCTCTTGACAGATGGCAGAGCGAATTTTGAAAAATGTTGAATACAGTAGACACCCTAGTTCTGATCTCCATTCTTGTTTTAAGCAAATCTCCTACACTTTCAGTCCTCAGAACTATAAACTACAGTTGTAAAACGTTTGCAAGAAAAAAACTTATAATATTTAAAAACTAGTTTTAAATTATTTAAACAAAGACCAGGACAGTGTTTCAATTTCAAATTTATAATATAATATGTAAAAAGTCCACACTTCACGGTCTAGACTAATTTGAATGAAATTTTTGTGTCACCAGCATTTGTAATGTAAATCCAAGAGTTGAGAGATCTTTAAATTATTGCATTTCAAAAACATTACTAGAAAATGATAAACTATAGGGACCTAAAGTCTCACACAACTATGACAATGATTGAATACCTGACAATCTTTAAAAGTAGGGATGTGAGAAAATGGGAAGGAGTGGATTCATTTGCCTCCATTGTACTCATCTCTAACATGAAATATTCAAGTTTATGGAAAAAGCAATGTGTTTATTTTATGGTGCTCTGATACTGTGATAACTACTGTGACTTCTTATGGGAATATTGCTGCATAGCAACTGCCAGAGAAGCTCATCAATCTGTGTTTCTCAAATGTGAGCAGCTCATTAGTACAATCTCCACCCAGGGAACACACAGAGCTCCCTTCTCTGCTTCATCCTGCGATTTCCATCATGTCCCTGGACCATCATTACTATTTGTATTTGTAAAATCCTTCTCTTGTCTCCTCCTTTCTATTATCATTTGATCACTTTGCCCTAAAAGCTGGATAACTGAGTACTCAGTCACTTCTTTTTTTTCTTTTTTTTTTTTTTGAGATGGAGTCTTGTTCTGTCGCCCAGACTGGAGTGCAGTGGTGCGATCTCCACTCACTGAAACTTCCGTCGCCCAGGCTCAAGCGATTCTCCTGCCTCAGCCTCCCGAGTAGCTGGGATTACAGGTGTCTGCCAAAACGCCTGACTAATTTTTGTATTTTTAGTAGAGAAGGGGTTTTGCTGTGTTGGCCAGGCTGGTCTGGAACTCCTGACCTCAGGTGATCCGCCTGCCTCAGCCTCCCAAAGTGTTGGGATTACAGGAGTGAGCTACCACACTCTCAGTCACTTCTAAAGGGTACAGTGTGTGAACCAATGACAGACATGAGTATTGCTCTCTTCTTTTACTTTGTAAATTCCTATATCTGCATTCTTATATATGCATTGATAATGTAACATTTAAGGTTTTACATTAGTTTTTGAGGAAAAGGCCTAGTATAAAAAGTTTTAAATCTAGTATAGAAACTACTATTAGGTTAGAAAACTAAGAGTTTTCTGCATACAAGCTTTACAAAATGATAGCATATTTCCCTTCTCAAATATTAAACTGTACTCTTTTTCTTAAAGTTATTAAATAGTTGTTTAGTATGAAACTGTGTTTCTTCTTTTCCTAGCTTTTCTCTAGTATGGTATCTTTTGTCCTGACAAATAACTATTGTTTAATATACATTCCTCAAAACTAGCTTTTGTATTTAAAAGGTATGTAGATTATATAAGAAGTCAAAAAATCTTCAATAAATAAAATAAAGAGAAACACGGTAATTTTTATTTCACCTGGTTGCAAATGGCCTGTAGACAATGAGGTTCTATCTAAGGGGCAGAAGCAGGTTAAGGTGGGATCCCTGACAAGCATTCTAGCTCTGTGTCCCTCCTTCAGCAAGAGCCACCAGATATGAGCAGAAATTCCTATACTAAAATACAGCACTCAGTCAAACTGTTTCAATGAACTGATTTGAAATATGAGAATCACAAAACGGAAATGAAGAGACATCATCAGTTTTCCCACAGTGAATTTGAGATTTGTTGAGAAAAACTGGTAATACTGTTCCCTTTTAAGGAACATACTCTTTGAGGATAAATCATTAATTCCTATTAAAAGGAGAAAGTAGATTTCAAACACAAAGATAGTTTGAGAAACATCTAAGGATTCTTTGACTTTTGCATTTACTATATTTTCTTTAAAAAGGTACTCTCTCACTTTTAGAAGAAAAAAAAAAAAAAACTCAATTTATGAAAAGTAAGCTTGTTTTACCCAGGTTTTATAAAATCTGCCCTTACCTGACAAGCCCTGCGCTAGGATCAATGGCTAGATATAATGATTGGTTGTGATTGTAGCAGGAATGATTAAAAAGCACATTGTTTCATGTGCATCTGCATGAATATATACCACACTATATGACATTTTTAAATTCTAAACTATCAGTAAAATCATAACCTTACATTGACATCAAAGAGTGATTTGTCTTCTCATATGCAAGTGCAGATTATTTTACCACAACTGCAAATTTAAATTCTCTGCATGTCTTCTCTGGTTTCTCATTTATTTTCTAGTTACACATTTTGGAAACTGAGATGGAGATTTTTTAAATAATTAAATGAGAAAATAAAAATTCATCATTGTTTGAATGCAAAATGGCTCAAGTCCCTGATAGGTTAATAGGGAGCATTATTATTGTTACAGTTCAACAAACATGTCACTTTGACATAACTAAAGGTGATTTCCCTTCAGCTGGTCATAGGCAGGTGAGACTAAATGGAGATTATTTAAAGGAAATGACTGACATCTGCTGGAATACAAGAGAAATGAAGAGAAAGCAATGCAAGCATATAAATGCTCACAGTTAACAGTTTCAGAATACATCAATGTTTACATCTGTAACAGAACAATGTTAGCGTAAGTCCTCGAAAACAGATGAATAATGGGGTGTAATGGAAAGTGGTACCCTGTGTAATTCTGTTCTGTTGCACTATGCTGAGTCCTATCAAGATAACTTCACTCTAGAGCAGTTGTACAATCTCTAAAAATAGTGCATTTTTGTTGCCCGTTATTTTTCTACATATTATTGTTGATTTCTATAGTCTGTGGGTTCCTGTCATCTTGACTCTGGCCATGTCTGTGCAATCAGCTAAACGGGCTTGACAAATCTACAACCAAGGAATTACTTAGAATTGATCATTTGGAGGGTTAGAACACAATTTAGTCTCAAAATAGATTCATGCCATCAAACATCGCTGATCTATGCCTTAAATTGGGTTTTAACATAGTTCCCATTTTAAAAATGATTTCTTAATAAGGCAATGGGAGAACTATTTATTGAGAGCTTACTAAGTTATTCCATTTAGGATATCCTATAATTTCATGTGGTAGGTGTTTTTAAAACTCCATTTTGTAGATGAGAAGATTTAATGTCAGAGAGGTGCAGGAATGTGCCCAATGTTACACAGATTGTGACAGAGTTGAAATTCATTACTTCATTCTACCTGATTCCACGGTTGGTGCTTTTCAACCTACAATTGAATTCAAGGTACTTTTGTATTTTCCAGTGCCAACACCATTTTATGCTACTTTTTAACTGTGTACCTTTCTAATGAAAAATGTTGGGGACGGTCCTGAAGAGTATCATGATCTGACCCTGCTTTTGGATATTCTCTTCAAGCAAGTATTTGATAAAGGTCTGTAAATCAGTAAGGGAGTACTCAGCAGAGTCGATGGAACCTATCTTTCCTTTTTTTCTCTAGAACAGTTTAAAAAGCAGTCACAGTCCTCAGTTTCTTCATTAGTACAATGATGAAGATGGACTAGAAAACTCCTAACATATCTTCCAGGGGTGCATTTAGTTAGGAATACAGCAAAGGAAAACAGGTTCATTCAGTTCATTATTATTCTGCAATAACACACTAACATAATCAAGACAATTAGCTACATATTGTACTCATCATTCATTAATTGAAAAAGTGGTTTTTTAATTTTTGTTTTTGTTTATAATGCCTTATGGAAATTGAAGTGAAAATATGTACTCGAAGGTGGTCTATTTTCACACACAAACACACCTGCTCAAGAGGCTATCTTTCCTGACAGAAACATTTGGAAAAAAAAAATTTTCATGTCATTTTTCTCTTACTCTTTCCATAAATTAAAAATGAAATCCACATTTTGCCTGAAAAAGAAAATGAAGATGATCAGAATTTAAAACACATGCAAAAATTATTTTAAAAACACTGTTTCACAATAAAAGATTATGTCTATGAATTACAATACAATATATCTAATATTGTACCAGATCCTTAAGAAGTTTTCAAATTTCCAAAAGTTGTATTTTTTTAAAAAACTTCCAACATGCATAAACATAGTCTGAATACGGTTTCAAATATTAACATAGACGGTAAAAGTAACACAATACAAATGTCTTCTGTAATTTATCAAATTTCTGCATTAAAATATATAGTAGGTTGAATCTTGAATTCAATAGTACCATCTAGTGGAAATCAACAAAAATGCAGTAGATAATGCTACTTTTGTTTTTTAACAGGCACAACTGCTAGTCTTCCCATTGTCTTGCAATAACTAATCCAGTGATCAAAGAACTAGTGAGAACCTCTTTGAAATAAGTATTTTCTTGTAACAAAAATGTTATTTGTTTTATTACGTAACACACTTATGGAATATACTAAATAATCTGACTGATTATAAAAATATAAAGTGTCTAATCATGAGCTTATTCTTGACAACCAATCTCTCGTACAAGACATTTATATACATATATGTGCTTTTATATAAACATATGTAACACATTATATATATATAAGACGTTATATATTATATATGACATTTATGTATGTTTATTGTGCTTTTGGATGCAATTTG